GCCTTTTGTGCTGTTTTAAGGTGGAAATGTGAATGCTTTAGTCACCGTGGGCACTAGTCCTTGTTATCAGTAGAGTGTCCCCATATTTCTCTAATATGTTCTGCAGACATTTGAAATGCCACCCCAGATAGACTTGAGAAAGTTAAATTATGTCCTTTATCAACAGCAGAATAAACTGTGATGGAATCAGGCATGAAATATGTTGATACATGGAATATCATCTAGCTGTTAAAAAGAAAATGAAGTATCAGCAAATATCAGTGTCGGCAAATCCCAGAAACGTAATGTTGAGCAAAAAAAAGTTGTAGAAACCTGCGCAAAATCAGGCTGTATTTATATTAGAAGTAAAAATATAAACACATGCAGAAGCATTCCATGGGGTGGTTTCTTGGAATAAGAAGGAAGGGGCTTCGACTGATGAACAGGAAACAATTTTACTTGTAATGTTTTATTTCTTGAGCTGGGTGGTGGATACAGGAATGTTTGTCACATTATTCTCTATGCTTAAAAAAAAAAAAAACAAATTTGATAATGAGACAAGTTCCCCCTCAGTCATGGTCAAGTTTCCACCTCTCAGAAGCTGTATTGCTCAGGATTCAACAGCAGAGACATAATCTACTCTAGCCCCTTAAGTAGTTTAGGCTGAAAGAGATTTAATAGTGTTTACAGAATTATTCAGGAGGCTAAAGGTACCACACTGAGCTTTCAGGAATAGCTTTGGGAGCCATGTCACAAGACGAGGGGGCACCAAGGGCTCCGCTGTCCTATAGGATCAGGATGCTATCAGCCGGATCGGGAAGAATCCCGTGGAAAGGCCAGACTCCACGGCAATGGTGCTCGCCTGGAGAAACGGTGGACGCGGCGAAGTGTGGCTTCACTCTCACTGCCTCCTTCTGGCTGGTGGAACCTCGCGTGCCTCTGGGAAGCCTAGTCCTTCACTTCCCAGCCTCTGCTGTGGAGGAACGCACCTGAGAAGGTAGGAAAGGTTGATCCGCCAGATCACAGAAGCCTCGTTTCCATCAGATACTCCCTTCCTGCCCCTACTCCAGCTGGGCCCAGCCCTTAACTCTCACCTTCACTCCCACTCTGAACGGCTACTCCCAGGTTTCCTAATCCATCGGGGATTGGCAGAGGACTCAGTGGGGAAAAAAAAAAAAAAAAACGAGATAAAATTCGGTAACCGCTGTTATAATATGGCAAGTCAATGCATCTAGAACACAGGTGCTGGGTTGAAAAAATGCATTAGACCTATAAAAAAAAAAAAAAGAAAAAATCCGGGTCACAAGACCACAGTCTGCTAGGTGGTGCCAAGGGCAAGGTGGTAGTGCTTAGTGGTGAAGGAGCTGGGCTCTGGACTTAGATCATCTCGGGCCGTTTTTAATGGCCTTGCCACTTACTAGAGGTGACTGAGGGCAAGTTCCTTAATCTTTCTGCCCTTCGGTTTTCTTATCAGCAAAATGGAGACGAGGATGATGATAATAAAATCTCCCTCACCCGGCTGTTGTAAAGATTAAATGATACGAAACTAACAATAACAGCAAACGCAAACTGCTTACCAGGCACTGGGCTGAGCATAGCACATACTTTAACTCGTTTAGCTTCGCGACAATACTGGAGGTGGGTATTTTCATTGTTCACGTCTCGCAGATGTGGAAACTAAGGTTCAAACCCGATAGTCTGGCTCTGTGCTCAAGTTCGCTCTGTGAAGCTGCTCTTAGGACACATGAAGGGCTCAGGACAGACTGAGCACTGTGTGACCGAGGTAATCCTTAGTCATTATTACCTGGGAGGGCAGATAGAGAGGTGCACGTGATAACCAATCACGTTACTGGATTAGGTCAAGTGGCAAAACTCCCACCTGTGGTCCAGGGCAAGGGCACGGCCAGGCTGCGTGTCCCTCAGACAGGTGTGTTATCTGTCACTGCAAATCCCCATCTCAGGGCCAGCAAAAGGAGGAAGAGACTACAGCAAATGTCGTCGTGATCTTTATAGCTCTTTATTGATCTTTATAGCCTCTCTTTTTCAAGAAGCAGCAGCACACCCCCACTGCCTCGATTGAACAGGAATCTGTCAGAGATCTGTGGGAGCGCTCACAGCTAGCGTGTGCCCAAAGGTGCTGGCTGGGAAAACAGGCAGGAGCTGAGGAGGAACCCTGGAAGGATGGCCAGTGTCCTCTGTTTCTGCTGAAATCCACTGCCATGCCTGCCCCAGGAGAGCTTCTCACCACCCACTCATCTCCTGGCTGGGAGCATCCCAAGTTATGTATTAGGTGTGCCTGGAATTCCCACCAGATATTCCTGCTTGGGGAAGTTTCCGAGGCTGCGGCCTCTTTTCTATTGTTGACAAAGGGAACATGACAAGTGTTACGAGTTAAAGACAGGCTAGAACCCACTTGAGACTTGCTCTCGTACAAACTATGCATAATGCTAAAATGCCCCTTCAAATTAAGGAACTCTTTCAAATAGATGTCTATTTTCTTAAATTCATCAATAACGACATAGCTCTGAAAAACAGCAGTGGACAGACACGTAAACAGTATTCACTCAGCCTTCAGATAATGAATGCTTGATAAATATAGACAGGGACTTGGTCACTGTATTGTTCCCAGGAGGTGAAAAGAAGGAGGATCTGAACCCCCAGTCTACATGACTTCCATACCCACCAAGCAGACCCCCTACGTAATTTGCAAGGCTAAGTGCAAAACAAAAAACAAAAAACAAAAAACGGTGGGGATCTTCATTAAAAAATTAAGCATTTCGACATAGTGAAGGTAGAACATTAAACCGCGTGTGGGGGCCCTCTCAGTGTGGGGTCCCGTGCACAGGCCCCATGCACATGAAGCTGGCCCTGGGTTCTCCCAGGAGCTGAGCAGTGGCCCATCCACCAGAATCCCCTTTTTTCATTCTAACAACTTAGCTGAGAACAGGAGACACGTGACTTCTGGGGGTGTCACAACACATGAAGCTCAGAGAGCACCCCATTGCCCCTCGTCCCTTCCTTCAAGCATTTAGTGAGAATTTTCTCAGTGTCTGGAGCACTGGGAGACCTGGTTCCAACCTTCAAAGGATGATTACGGTCTAGCGAAGGAGATAGTTTTAGAAGCAAACAATTAAAAGACGGTGCCATTCTGTCAATGTAAGAAACGTCCAAACCTGTAGAGAATTTTTGTGTTTGTTTGAGCCAAACTGACGACAGTTCCCAGGAAGTGCGATCACAAATGCTCCATAGAAGAGGATGGTAGTTTTGCCATTTCTTTTATGCATTCGGAATTAGGTGCTCTAATTTAGATGCACAGAAACAGTGGACAGGGGGCTTGCTTAAGGCAAAGATAAACCTTTTACTAAAGAAGTTATATGCCTGGGGTATGACACCACCCACTGTGCAGTTAGGAATTTATGATCAGATCACCCTGTGAGGTTTCTTTCTGTAGAATCACCGCCCCCCCACCCCACCCACCGTCATTCACAATCCTTTACAAGGGAGGTTGCAAAAGGACATTTTGGAGAAGGGCCACTGGTCAGCCTGGAGGAGGCACGAAAGGATCCTTGGGCCCCTCCATGGGCCCTTCCAAAGGACTTTGCAGACCTGGGGACCCAGAGTTCCAACTGTGTTTAGGAAAGTCGCACTGACACAGCCTGGAGGCTAGATTAGTGGAAAGCCAAGCCGGTAGTGGGAAGCCTGGTCACGGGACCGCTCGCTGCCCTGGAGAGACATAACCAGGTCCTGAAGGCCGCAGTGGCCCCTGGCACTCCTCCTGGAGAGAGGGGGTGGGTTCAAGAGTTAGTTCAGGGGCGGAATCAGCGGGGGTTGGCGACTGATTGGAGGAGGTGGATGGGTTTTAAAGTTGAAAGAAAATCCTAGGACGATTAACTGTCTTCTCACTTTAGGCAGATGGACGCAGGAACACAGAAAGAAAGCCAGTTTGGAAGAAAAGATTATGTGTATTAGTAGGCAATTTGCAAATCGGTACAGATATCGGGAGAGCTACATGTCACTCAATGCTTTTTCGATTTTTGCCTCACGCCTTTCCTTTTTCTCCAGCATGACCCTTCCCCACAAAAATCATCACCTAAAAACACGAAAGAATCACCAATGTCTTTAGGAGAAATATGCAGAGTTGGAAAACTAAGAAGTGGAAGGAAATGAATAGACTGGTTGTTTATTCTCTCTCAGAGGCAATGAAAACAAGACAACTTGGGAAAAGAAAATTTGGGGTTTATAATTGTTTCTAATTCTGTAATCAAGGACGATCATCCTAATGCAAAAATGTTATTTAAAAATAGAAACAATTTCCCTGGCTTTCATTACCAGACTATCGAGAAACTTACTTATTTACACATTTAACAGACTCTAATAGATGAACTCAGATACTTAAGTGACATGGTGGGGGAGG